GCGGCGGCGGCGGCGGCAGGGATAAGTCGACAGCAGCGGCGACGCCGCCACCGCCGCCGCGCCCGGGAACCATCCGGGACCACCTGTACGGAGCGGACCCGCCGTGGGCGCCGACAGATTTTGCTGCCGCCAGGGGCCGGGGCGTTGGTTCTGGCCTCGCCGACGGTCGCGCCGGAGTTGGGGGTGCGTTGGGAGGACAAGCGACGGGTGAGAGGGGTGGCGGCGACAGCGGCGGGTTGTCGGCGTTAGGATCGTATTCGCCGCACCCCCTTCTCCGAGGCGTGGACGCAGAGCTGTGGGAGGAGACGGTGTTGGACCCGGGTGCAGAGCCGTTGCTTCTGGCCCCGGGGAGGGGCGGGGGCGGCCGGGGACAGGATGGGGGTATTTGGTGCAGGTATGTATTTTACGTGCGATACGTGTTGGCTGAAACGGACGCGTGCTGCTGTTTTGTTCCGCAGCGTCCCCGTTCACCTGTACTTGACCGGTAGCTGTTTGAAGTGTTGTGCATCGGGTGTGTAGAGTGAGCGGCCGTAAGTATTTTGGAGGGCGCGAGGGGCGGAGTCGATGAAAGATGGTATCGGTTCTGTCCTTCTTCGTTGAGCCTTACTTCCACCTCCAACCACTCACGCCACCTGCTGCGGTCGCACCCGTAGGATTGGCTCACCCTCCGCCGGACGGGCAGCATCTTTTTCGTTAGCTGTTTTTCTTGCTTTCTTCGTTTCATTTTCCATACGCCCGGATGTTTTTGCCGTCAATATTGTTTTCTGCTGACGTGTCGACGCTTTCTTTGCCCCGCCCCCTTCTTTCTCGACCAACACGCCTCCGGTACTTTTTTTCTCGAATCAACGTTCTCTTGTCCCCTCGCCACTCCTCCTTTCTCCTTCCCACCCGCCCGCCCGTACGTACGTACGTGCGTGATATTGCTGCTTGATGGGCCGTCGGACGTTCCGTTTTTTCTAGTGACGACGAGGACTGCTGCAGTGCTTCGGACGACGAATCGGCCCTGCTGCAGGAGCGCGCGCGCCTGGCCTCCCGGGGGACCGGCGGCTGCGTCTACTTCTCGCCCCCGGGGGGCGAGGACGGGGTTTTCCAGAGGCGGCGGAAAAGAAGAGGAGAGGAACGGGGCGCCGCGCGCACATGCTCGCGACGGCCGTTCTTGGAGACGATGACGGTGGCTGGGATAGTGCTAGAAGGCATGGCAGAGACTCAGGCGACGGGGTCGGAAGGGGGTGATCATGCGAGGGACCCGGGGGCAACGGAGAGGGAGGTGGAAGACGGAATTGGGCGGGGGCGTCTTCGCCAGGGAGGCGGTGACGCTGCTGTTGCTGCTGTTGCTGCTACGCCGCAGAGCCACGAGGTTGAGAAGGTCGTGGTGAATGCCGCCGGGGGCGAAGCCGAAGGAGGATCAAGCGAAGACGATGGGGGGGTGGCTAGTAGGGCGACAAAGCGACGGCGGCGGCAGGGGGCGTCGGAGGAGCAGGGGGCATCTGGGGGAGCCCCTGGTAGCAGCGGTAGAGGTAGAAATAGGTCCAAACGACGCGACCTCGAGAGCGAGGTAAGCGGCGTGCACATCAGTCTCTCGTCGAAATGTTGCTGTTCTGGTTCTGTGCCTTGTGTTGTCGCCCCCCTTCCCTGTTGTTTTCGTGCAAGTGTTGTGACGCACCTTGGCGCAGTTTCTACGCACGCGCAAAAAGATGGAGCCGCGACTTGGTACTGTTCTCCCTTCTACTAGCTGTATCACGGTGTCCGGCGTGACAACAACCATTGTAGTTGGCTCAAACAAGCCCCGTTTTCCCCCCTACTCTGTGCTTTGGCACAGGTCGTTGCCGCCGTGCATCCTCGTTTCGAAACGTGTGCGGCAGGTTTTTTGCATCAGGCCCTGCCTTCTCTCCTTCTTCCCCCAGCAGATCGATCGTCCCCCCATCTGAATCCAATAACACTCCCCTCAACACCTCCCCCCCCCCCCCCCCTCAACCCGGGTCGCCCTCTTGAATGTACCCTCCCAATCCTCCCGTCCTTTTCTTCCGCCGCCGCTGCAGGATGATGACTACGAGCCGGATGATGACTACGAACCCGAAGAAGACTACCAACCGGAAACCACCGGCGTGGCCCAGCCAAGGGCGGGGAAACTGAAACTCGAGCAGGAGGAGGGCGACCAAGACAGCGAGGAAGAAGCCGACGAGGATTACGTGATCGCCCCGGGCTTGCGCGAAGCAGAAGCGCCGCTGGGTCCACCGAGGGGGAGGGATGGGGGGGCGGCCCGCTTGTTGGAGACCGTTTTTGTCAAGTTTCCGGGAAAAGGTTTTTTACGCGCTGGGGGCGGGGGGGGGGGGAGAGGGCCGGTGTTTTTTTCTCTGCGGCATCGGGGGTGCTTGTCTATGTACAACGGTTGACTTGTTTGTTGGCGCGGAACAGCTTGGGGAAGCACCATTGGTAATTATATCCTCATGACTTTAAGGGGAGCAACCAAGATCTCCATGGGGCGATAATGACTGGTAGAAACGCCCGTTTCGAGACCAAGCGGACGGAGAGGAAGGGTTTGCCTTTGCCTTTGGGTTTGATGAGGCACGGCACCCCGGCAATGAATGGAAGCGTGTGGTTTCGCAAGTCGCAAACGCCCATCTTTCGCACCCCCCTTCCTGCCACCTCTCCCTCCCCGCCCACCTTCACTGCATCTTCTCTTGACCTCCTAAGCGCACGTCTTTTGTTTTTGCCAGGAGAGATTGCCCTAGATACTTCCCATCGTTGAGCCTGTTGGATTTCGGTTGTCAAACCTCGCTTTGCCATCATTCTCTGTCTACATATGTCTGCCTGTCAATCTCTCGTTACATCGCCTTCATGCTCGACTCGGCTCTGTCTTGCTAACGATGATTCTTGTTCGCTCGTCGCCATCGTCGTCGTCTGTAGTTGGCTTGGTCGACTTGTCTTTCTGCCCAGCCTGTGCTCCCATCGGTGATTTCTGCCGTAGCGTTTGTAGTCCTTCTTGGGTTTCGAGGACGGCCCTACGACGCACCGACCGACCCGTTTTTTTTTTTTTTTTTCTGTCGCGGTCTCTTAAATGCGATGCTCTTTCTTCCCGACGCACGCTCGCGTATGCCATGGGCGTTTTGGCAGCGGCGGCGTGGCTTTTGGCGGACAAGTGCTGTGTGGCGGCGCACTTGTTCGGGCCGCAGCACCGCTACTGCCTGAGGGCGATCGGACGACTGTGCCGCGAGGACGTCAGAGAGGCCGCCCGCCCGGCTCGTGCGGCACTGAGAAGGTACACGGACAGCAGTGGGGTCCTGCTGTACCTCTCGATGCTTGCCTTGTTGACACGAGGGTGTTTATGGGTCGGACGCAGTTTAGCCTGTCTGTGTGCCCCCCTTTCGACCCCCCCGGGGGATGTTTTTCCAATGTTCTCCGTGCCAACGATGGGTGATTCCGTGAATAGTGCTTGACAGGAAGCCGTGAGGCACAAGAGGTGGACCTACCTGTAGCGGGGTAATGAAGTGGACGAGCTTGCGAACACAAGAAATTGCCCCGCGTACGGCCGGAAGAAAACGAAGCACCCGACCCCCGTTCGCCCCCCACCTCCCACCTCCCCCGCTTCCGCCACCTCTCCAACCCCACACCCCTGTGTCGCTCTCCCACTATTTTCTGCGCACGTCAAACTACTGTAACGTTTACAGCCAAGGTTTCCGACTTCAACTAAGCTTGACAAGGCTCGCCGCGGACAACGTTCGGGCCGAGGCTGCCAAGGAAGGGAAGGCGAGCGTCGCTTGGGGCCTTCCAGACGCACCACTGGCGGCACAGCACGTGCTCCCCTTCGACAGCTACGTGCCGGAACCGGTTGGATCTCTGGCGGCTGCCGACGACAGCAGCAACTGAGCAATCAAGCGCGGCCCTCAGCCTTTATTTCCGCAGATGTTGGCGCTGCTGGCACTGCAAGGAGCGCTCAGCGTTCTTCCGCCGCTGCTGGCACTGCCGGACCGTGGCCAAGCTGATTTTGCTAGAGGGCGGCGGGGATGGAGGTGGATTGCTGATGAACGAGAGGTCGTATCGATGCGCTTAAGAAGCCGAAGCGTTTATTTAGTACGGCGCGATGAGATGTGTGTGGGGTAGTCACGCTTGGGATGGGTTTTGAACCTACTCCGCCGTACCGCTCGTTCCGCGACGACTGTAACTGCTGTACGTTTTGATGGATGGTGTCGAAAGAAGACCGCCGAAGAGAGACATACGTACTTGTACGCAAATATTGTCGGGAACGAGAAGTGAAAAAGGTGAAGGCTCCAAGGCTTGGCAACACGATGGCTGATTCCGGGGTTGATGCACTACCGCGGCGGTGTAGCAGTCAGCAGTTAGTTGTGGAGGGACCGTGACCTTATTCACCTTCTTTCATTGACCCACTCACTCGTTTTAGTTTTTTTATTTTCACATTTTTTTTTTGTTATTTTCACATCATTTATTTTGGGGCAAGGCCCTGGGCAGGGAAGGAGGGGTGGTTGGTTATGTTTTCCTCGCCTTTCAGACACGAAATACACCGGCTTCCGCGCGAAAACCCCTCGTATCACGACGAATGACGCGTTCTGGTGACTCGAATTAATTTCTGTGGTGCATGCCCGAACGGTCCTCTTTCTCTTTGAGCCACTCATTTCCTTAGCTTTCACCTCCTTCCTCGCGTTGCCCGAAGAGAAAAAAAAAACGTGTACAAGTAGTAAGCACTTCTTTCTCTCTACCCGTATGCGCTATTTTATTCAGCAAGAAAAAATATCGTGCATACTCATGGAGCCTCATTCCACCAGAGCTAGGATGGCGCGAACGACATGTCTACTTCCATAGAAATGAGAGAAGAACCCAACGGAATTAAATCACAATCAACAGTCATTAAATTTGAGTTTTCCTCCGGAGAGCTTCGCGGCCGAGACAAGAGTTCTCTTGTGGACGGGGGGGGGTGAAGAAACGAACTACATACACACACACATTGCCGACCCCCTCGAGTTGGCCAGAGGCTAATGTAGCAGCAGCAGATCAGAGATAGCACCACATGGTCATGCGTGTGGTAGCTCACCCACAACACAAACAGTAGCGTTGTGTGTCTGCAGGAAGCACTGTCAGCACGACGGAGGGTTTGCGAGGTATGGGGTTGTCTGTAACGCTCAATTGCTGAACCTTGCTTTGAAACACAGCGGACTGACTGCTGGGCCTATTGCGACAGCAGTGATGGTGCTATGCGTCGGTCAGCTGCTGCTGTAGATGACGTCTCTTTGGGCATCTCACTCCCTGAATGTTGAGGCACAAACTGCAGGAAGTTGGCGGATGAGGTTTTCATGGCGCGAGGATGGTATACGAACTCATCCAATCACTCCTCCACAGAAACTGTCGTACCCCGCTTTCCAGCATGCCCTGTGCTCGGCAGCAGCGTGTGCGGCACAACTCGACACATTCAGAACATTTGAACTTTGAAAACTGAAAACGGAAAACGCGGGACGAAACCTTGTAGCGGGTGAAGCGTAATTGTTGCACTTCCGATGGCAGGGCGCCCTATCATTGCTCGTTGATGGGCTCTGCGAACCTGAGCAACTAAACAGGCGCTTAACTTGTTCCGGCTGTCTTTGATGCTGCCACATGAAAACCACGCATGCATGCATATTATGTGTACGAACGTGGGTGTGGGATCCACTTCGCACGATCCAAAGCAAAGGAACCCCGGGCCACACCCGTGCGTACCTACAAGTACAAACCTCAGCTTTGCCGTCGGACCGCCCGTTACCCGCAGACTCAACACGATTGGTTTTGAGTTAAATTGGCCAGGCTGGCTTCTTCACGTGGTCGTCAGCCGTGCTTCCGTGGAGAGAGGCTGATTACTGATTGCCGAAAACAATACCCCATCCCTCCGCCACCAGGAGACAACATACACCCACACGTGATGGGGGGAGCCGCCGCTGCCGCCGCCGCCGCCGCCGCGCTTGTCTTCCTGGTGCTAGCGGTCTTCGCCGTCAACCCCGCGGCGTCGGGAGCAACTACCGGCGGTCCGGATGAAAACATGCCTCATTACAACAACGCCGGAGCTCAGTCGGGTGATGCGCACCGCGCCGCACAAGATCTGGGGTGCGGCGTGACAGGCGGCTGCGCCACCCTGGACACGTGCGGCAGCGACAGCTCCGACGCGGACTGTGCGGCTCCGGACTCGTACGTCTGCGAGCACCAGCTGCCGGGCCTTAGCGTCTGTGAGTCTCCTCCCGTTGCATCGATGCAGCCGTGCTGGATGTCCGGCTTGGATGGTGCCCTGAGGCTGAACCAGATCAGCCTGCCGGGCACGCACGACACGATGTCGAAAGGGATCTCGGCCTGCCTACAGGAGGGCCAGGCGAACTACGTGCACACGCAGGTGCGGGTGGGTGGAAAGAGCGACGACGACAGTCGAACCAATTGTGGGAGCTCTCTACCAGTGTTGTTCGCGCAGACCTCGGAAAGGACCGGTTTGGGAAATACTCACAAGAACCGCGTACACGCTGACTTGAGAGAGATGTATTGGGCATGCGAGAATTGACCCTGTCGTAGTATCATGCATGTCATTCTGCATACATGCGTGCAGCTCTCGAATGGCTGCGTTGACCGAAAAGGCATGCTTGTTCAATACCGCAACCACTCGCTGTTTGCCAGCACTACCACCTCCGTGTCGTCAAGTCCCCTGAGCGCTGTTAGAATTTGACGGCGGCCTTCGACTGGCAGAACCATTCTGTGGGAAAAGGTGCGACGCCCTTTTCTCCGACCCCTCCGCAAGTTCGACTCGCCTGCAACCGCTCTATCAGTACCCGGCACATTGTAGGGACGCCAGGTCAATGGTCTTGTAATGAATCCGTTTACACCGCATACGCGCGCGCCGGCAGGCGTGGTCGCTCCGAACGATGCTCGACACGGGGGTGCGAGCGATCGACGTCCGGATCCGCCGCAAGAGCGACCTCTCCCTGGTCCTAGAGCACGGCATCGTGGAGCTCCCCTACGGCTTCGACGTAGACGTTCGCGACGTGCTGGCCTCCTTCCTGACGGACAACCCCACCGAGACAGTGGTCATGTTCTACCAGATGAACGACTTGGCGGGGGAGGACAGCAGCGGCGGCGTAACCGCCGAGGACACCCTGCAGGCCTCCATGTCCCAGTACCCGGACCTGTGGCTCGACGGGGCGGTCGTCCCGACCCTCGAGGAGGCCAGGGGGAAGGCCGTCCTGCCCACGGACATGGGCCAGGAGGAGCAGAACGACTTCAACCTCAGCTCCTTCGAGGCCGTGGCGACCAAGAAGGGGTTGGTCCGAGACTTTTTCCTGGAAGGCGGCGGTGTCCCGGCCGATGGCGGTCCGTTCCGCCTGAACTACCTGTCCGGTACGGGGACGTACGTGTACCCGCTGACGGTCGCCGCCGGGCTGAAGAGCGTCTACCAGGGCACGAACGAGGTTGTGTTCGAGTTCTCCGGGGGTAGCCTGGGCGTGGTCATGTTCGACTTCGTAGGGGAGGACGCCGTCGCGCACGTCGTGGCGCAGCAGGTGGGGGGGGGGTGTACTCATAGTCGTGCATGCCGTAGTCGTTAGACCATTGACCTCGCATCCCTACAAAGCCGGGACGGTGCACGCCGGGTTCTCACCGGACCAGGGGGGGGGCTGACTGCCGAAGTGAGACTAGTCATCGCTGACTATTTCGTCTAATGGTTTGAATTGCTGGCTAGTCTAAATGGGTTGAGATCGGCTTCTACAAGTTTAGTCCGACTTTACAGTCATATTCATTTTGGGTCACTGCCTCATGGTGTACACATAAGTGCATCTCTGTTGCTGCTTGCTGTCCCTACGTAGTTCTGCTGCCGCCTCTTTCTTGCAATCTTGCGTACTCTAGGTAGGCGGACTGGGTGGTATTGCTCCTGGCTGTTTTAGCCCCTTTAGCCATTACTGCTATCGCAAGAACACCCCAACCCCCTGGGTGTGTTGGTCTCTATTGCAACCAGCATGGATTGTAAACCCTGACCTGCTGCTGCTGCTGCTGCCGTGCTTTTGCAGGGAACCGACGGCCTTTCTTGGGACCAACCACAAGAAGAGTCGGCTACATCGCCGGAAATCTCCGGGGCAACGTAGCGCGCACAAGAGCCGAATCTAAAAAAGCGTGGTGTATTGTTATAGTTTTGAACTGCTGTCCTGTATGTTTGAAGTGCTTGGTGTTGAAAACGAGTTTGTTGTGGCCACCGCTGTAAGCGTAGCTTCCAGGGCGAACGTGGCTCTCTGTTCTAGCTCATTCGAGAGGTTCAGGTTGGCGTAAAGTCGGGGTAATATTACAGCCTAGAAGGCATGGTGTTCGTCCGTGTGGGCATTTGCGCACAAGGAGGCCAGTCTCTTTGTGAGAAGTCCTTGCTCAAGTGATACGCGGAGGTGTGTGTTCGATTGCATTGTTTTTCTTTATGATAATAGTGACGTAGGAGCTTTGTTTTACGTGTAGTCGAATTGGGTGTGTGATACGTCTCCGCTGTACCATGTCGTCAAAAATCAACAAGCAGTTTTAAGCCGCAACGGCACCCTAGCGTTGTGGGTGGTGCGTGGAAGTGGAGCGATTTGCGGGGTTCGTGTACAAAATGAGCACTTGGTAGATTGGCTACGTTTGTTGGTACAAACACCTTTCCTCTTTTCTGTTCGTGTTCGGTGTATCCGGAGAAGCGCTGCAAGTCTCTGAATCCTAGACGCCACGGAGAGGACGCGCACTCCACACCACCACATCGGTAACTTTTGGAGTGTTGCCGTCCCAACCCGAGTTTTGGCTTTTGCGTGCGCATGCAGCGGCGCGGGTTGATGGGGGTCCTGGCAGCTGACGACGAGGTGTTGCGCGCGACTGGACGGGTTCGTCTGTTTCGTGATTTTTTTTTTTTGTGTGTGTTGCCCTGTGAAACTTTTGTATGATAGAGGGCAGTATCAGTCTTTGGAGAGGTCAGAGCACTAACCACCCGGTGTGGTAGGTAGCGACCAGGCTTGCGCGGTGGGGTGTCTACTCGAAGGGGCATCGATCATCATGGACTCCGTTTTTTCCTTGAACGAAGAGAACGGTAGGCATGGCGTATGCAGCAGTTTCTTGTCTCAGACCTTCGAAAGTCCGGACGGATGTATGACGTTCTGTTGCGAACCGGTGTTGTCAACGTGCTCTGCAGCCCACGGCTACGGATGGATGTCACTGTATCTACAGGGTTTTTAACAGGACGGACGTTTCGCAACTCCAGCCGCAACACAATTTGGCAAAACCCTGAGAACACACGCAAGATTAACATTTCTACAACGGCGCGGCTGCCCTTGTCACTCATCCCTCCTTCCACCTCCGACAACTCACTCCGGCCAAATAGTCCATACATTTCGAAAGCCAAGCCTCTAAGAGCGAAGGAACGAGCCACTCAGGAGGATGGCCGTCAGCCTGAGACTGAGCTGGAAAGATACTGCTGTAGCGTGCTCGGCTCTCTCGTCATCCATCCAAAATGGCGGGGGGGGGGGGGGGTCCGAGACAAACGAAGCCATACTCTACTCGTGTCGAACAACACCAGCGAAAACAGACAAAACGCCTTCCGCTACAACCCTAGATGAAAAGCGCATGCACAGAGAGAAGCAGTGGGCTGACCTGAGAGGCCACATCGGCACGGCCATCCCGTTTCCTTGCTGACAAGTAGCACCGCTGAACTACAACGGCAACGATAAATGACACCACGCAAGACAAGCTCCCCCTTTGCTGTGCCCACCCAAAAGCAGCAAAACGAACTTAAAAACTCAATCAATAGAATCAACGGCGGTATACCCCCGTATCGAAAGCACGGCTGGAGATCGACGAGAGCTCTCTCTGTGTGGTTTTACATCCCGAAAGCACCGCCGAAGGTGTGAGCTCTGTACCCACAAACCACACCCTTTCGCAACGCCCAAGCTTTCATCTTCGGACGCCTGCACACTTGTTTGCTTCCTCCCGTCGATTATTCCTACGTCCTCAACAATATCTCTATTTAAAGCAGGCTCAATGTACCAACACAGCCACCTCTTTTCCTCGGTACGGACATGCGTTCAACCAGGAATAAACGGCACGAGAGAAAACACGCGCGCATCTCAAAAACCCAACAAATAATCCATGTCCTCCCTGCCGCGCGAAGACGGTTCGGAGCCAAGCCACGAAGCAAGAGAGACCAAAAGAGAGAGACATTGAGAGAGACAGAGAGAAAGAAAGAGAGACAGGAAGAGACCACGAGAGAGAGAAGCCTGCACTCCCCCCCCCCAGAGAAATCAGCAAAACCCAACAACCCATCTCCTACCATTTTCTTGAAAACCGCTCGGAGCCAGGCCAAAGACAGCGAAGCTAAAGGGACCCGAGAGAAAGAGAGGGAGAGAGAGAGAACCCTGCCCTCCCCCCCCTCCCGGAGAAATCAGCAACACAGTTCGAGCACCGCCGCCGCCCCCATCCCCGTCCCGATGCACATCGACACAACCCCGAACCTTTTCCCGGTCCGGCGGAGCTCGTACAGCAGAGTGGCCACCTGCCGGCACCCCGTGCAGCCCAGCGGGTGCCCCAGCGCGATCGCCCCGCCCTTGGGGTTGACCTTCCAGGCGTCAAGGCCAAGCTCCTGCAGAAAGGGGGGGAGGGGGGGGGGGGTGAGAGAACGGGGTAGAGGAAGAGAGAAAGGGTACACAACGAAGATGGATAACAAGGGGGTGGCGAGACTGGGGAGCGGGCGACAAGATGTCGATTCGGTCGCATCGCTCTTTCTCGCTCTCTCTCCCTCCCTCTCTCTCTCTGCCCAGTCATCACGGAACATGCAACCATGCATGGCAAGCATTCCGTACACCTTCGAATGTCGCCGCTCTGATTTAAGAAATACCTTGCGGACAATAGGGTATCGTGCGGGTTTCTTGTAGTTCAGAACACTCTGTACGGTGAATCACACAATTTCTACTTTCAGGCCCTTGGTCAGAATTGCAGGTTTCACACTGCCCCTGCCACAGCTGCAGTCCACGGTGGAAGCTCACACACCTCCGAAGTCCAGGAGTTGGGCACCGAGATTCGACGCCTACACTTGCAATCTCGCGGTCCGACAACCAAGAGCTCCGTGAGCAGACGCACGGGTGGAACGGCTCAGACGACCTCGTCTCTTGTTCCGCGAACAAGAGCACCAGAGCGTACGGAGTATGGAAGAAAAGCACATGAGCGCACCCGAGCCGTTCCGCTGGCGCCGTGCGTCTGCTCACGGGGATCTTGCTTGAAGGACCGCGAGATTGCGAGTTTAGGCGTCGAATCTCGGTGCCCAACTCCTGGACTTCGGAGGCGTGTGAGCTTCCGCCGTGGACGGCAGCTGTGACGAGGTGCAAATTGTGTAGACTTGCCTCCGCGGGTGGGTTTGGAAGAGCGTATCTACAAGCATTCTCGCTGTTTAACGATCAGCACGATATAACTCCCTCCGCTCAGATCGTCTCTCTTCTGCTCTTGCATGTGCACCAATCAATGGATACAACGTTTCTACACCTGTCCTCCACATCTCTCTCTCTCTATCCTTCGCTCCCTCTCTGCCTTTCGGTCTCGTTCTCTGTGAAGCCCATCCCCCCCCACCCACCCCCACCCCCAAACGCAACGGTGATGACCAGCTTTTGGTTGATCCTTGTGAAACGTAGCCTGGACCGGCATAACGCTCCGTCCCGGCATTGTAGAGAGGGATGCGAGGTCAATGGTCTCACGACTACGGCATACGTTTACATGAGTACACCCCCCCCACACTGCCCATTCTCCGTGCCTCTCTTAGGACTGACCTTAATGCAGTAGGTGGCCTGGCTGGCAAACGCCTCATTGAGCTCAAACAAGTCAACGTCACCGAGCTCGAGCCCAGCCTTGCCAACGGCGGCCGGGATCGCCACCGCTGGCCCGATTCCTGTACAGGGGAAAAAGGAAAAGAGACACACACATACACAAAAGCACACAGGATGCACATTGTTAGGAGAAAAAACGTTAGACTGCTGTGGTGCCGATGGGAGTCTCTCCCTCACTGCAACTGCGGCAGAGACGAAACCGACGGAATAGACATACAGAGGGAGAAACACAAGACTCGTGGGTTTGCACAACAAAAGCAGGCGCCTTTGTATCGTCGTTGGAGGCCCCCTGCTCAAGAAGAAACGCTGTCGCGGGGCCGCTCCCGTTGGTTCGAGCAAATAAACCAAAGGTGCGTACTGCTTGCATACGCAGGGAACTAGCGTCATAAAACCCCACTTCTCAGGAGGAAACACAACACACACCTTGGTTGGTGAGGTACAGAACAGGGCACAAGGGGAAACACGAAACCCGTTGCAGTGGGAGCTCGGACAGCGGGAGGGTCGACAATCTCACTCCGTCAAGACCAGCAGCCACCAAGAGAAAATACAACCGCTTTTCCAAACCAGACAAGTCAGTACGAGACGTGAAAAGCTTCGAACGTTCCCAAGAGTCTTGGTCCGCGAGGCTTGGTCGTAACGCAAACCCGATCTCCACCCCGAAGATGAGTGTGTGTTTGTGTTCGTCGAAATCTGACCTGGTGCCAGTCTACAAAACCTTCGGCGTACATCTCCGACGTTCTGTATCGGCCCGGGAGGCTCACTTGCCACACAAGGAAGGTTTGTTCTAGTCTGTACTGTTGCCCCACACAAGGAGCTAGTGTTGTTACCAATGCACTACTGTATACCCGTAGTTATGACTCAAAATATCTAAACGGGGCTTAAATTGACGGTTTCGCGTACGGGGCGTATGTATTCGTCTAGAGTTGCACATCCCATACTGTTGCCCCATCCCGCTACTATGAAGGGAGGCCCCCAAGGGGGTCACTACAGAAAATAAACCCGGCTCACCCATGACCTCCGGCGGGACTCCGACGACGGCGTACGAGCGGAAGACCCCCAGGGGACGGAGTCCCCGCTGTGCCGCCGACTCTCGCGTCATCAGAAGGGTGGCGGCCGCTCCGTCGCTCACCTGACCAATCAGAACATGTGGTGTGGCTAGTCAGCCCGGCGCATAGAGGGGGATTTGCTAGCCCCGATATTTCAGCAATAGGTGGACGGGGGGATAGAAGAAGGGATAGGGGGGGGGTGGGGAGGATACTCGCGTATAGCGTTCGTTGCGCGTGAAGCATGACTATCATTGGGTTGGGAACCCAATCGTTTTGTGACGTGGGATAGCATCACCACTTCTACACGGTCTGTTGAGACACAGTTTGACTGGCAAACTTGAACATTTCCTGTGTCTGAAAAAGGTCAGGGTGCGGTCGACACAAAGAGCTGAATGGTTGCGTGTGCGTTCTTTTAATCAGGGGGCATGCTGCGTTCATCACACCGGGCTGCATGCTCATTCCATCTACCATTTTGTCCGTCTCCGCCCGCCTGGTCCGGTCAGAACCCGGCGTGCCCCGTCTCGACTTTGTAGGGATGGGAGGTCAACGGTCTAACGACTACGGCATGCACGACTACTGTATGAGTACACCCCCCCCCCCCGCCCCCCCGCCCTCTCTTGCTGTCCCTCTGTTTCTCTCAAGGTTCCTCCACCAAGATTGATTCTATATGTATCCGCAACAGCGTAACCTGTTCCAACAAAAAACGTATCTAGAGCGACGACGAAGCAACAAGAACGCTTCGAGATTGACAGGCTAAACAACCGGTTCCACCAAATGTGGGTACAGTATCTTGATTGACAACAAAATGGATAACGCTGCCGTGACTCTGTTCCGTGCATTTTTTCTGTCGTCTCCGTCCACGAACCTGACTCGCGTTCCCCGCCGTGGTCGTTCCGCCCTTCTTGAAAGACCGCCTTGAGGCCGCCCAGCTTGGCCGCAGTAGTCCCCGCACGCACCCCCTCGTCTTTGGGACACCAACACGTCCACCTCCGCACCGTCGGGGCCCTTGACCGTTGTCTGTGATGCCAGTCGTGGTGTCAAGGGGAGGGCGTATTCGCGTGTTTTTGCATGGTTTAGTTGTTACCCCGTTGACCTCGCATCCCTACAATGCCGGGACGGAACTGGGGGGGGGGGCGTACTCAAGTTTTGCATCATTTAGCTGTTAGGCCAGTGGCCAGGCGTCCTCGAAAGCACCGAGCATTGTTCCCGCAGGACCGATCGCGGATGGTCTACTGTTCCTTTCTACTTCCCCAAAGGTGGCTAAAAAAGGGGGGGGGGGGGGCTTGTGTGGGTAGATACATTTTTGCAAGCGAATAGAGTGGGGGGGACAAGCCGACCGGTCGACTAGCAAGAGCGCGACGTGCGTGTTGAGAGGGGCGCCGTGACAGCAGAACCGCATGGGCTGCACAAAACCCCTTGGCCTTGCTTGTCTTCGAGCACGAACGGCTCTCCCCCGATCGCGCCCCACCCCAAGCGAAACATGAATACCTACGAGTCTTGACGTTGTTACGTTCTCGTGAGACCCCAGTTGGGCGCAATCTCCTTCAGACTCTCTTCCTTGGTCTTCAAGCTGAGCACAACAGCGTATCCCGGCCACCGGGCGACAGAAGCTAGAATGTCGATCTCAAGAGGTAACATCAGCAACGAGAAAACAACAACAACTCTGCCCTCGAGTCGAGGACATAAAGAACAACAACAACACAAAAATTCTACAAGGGCCTCAAATCGTGATCATCTTCGGGATGTTTTGTGTATGGGCTGTCCCCCCCCCCCGGAAGCAGTGGCAATTTGTTTGTGAAAAAAAAAAGCCGACAGACCATGCTTGCGTCAAAATTGCTGGAAATACGCCAGATTCACAGATTTTCGTTTGACAGGCATAAAACCGCAGCAGCAAGAGAGTCTCAGAAGAAAGGGTTTGTGTGGACGGTAGACGACGAGATGAGACAGCACCAGCGGGGAAACAACACCAAGAATACAGCGAGGTTGAGGGTTGGTTCCCTTAGAAGGGGTACGCTTACATGCATGACAAATTGAAAATACATGCGGCAACACAGAAGAACGGTAAAAAGGAACATTGTTCCAAAAAGGCGGCTGTCGGCAGTGTGTGTGTGTGTGTTCGTCCCATCTATTGTGGCGCCGGTTTACAAACCTTTCGGCGTTAGATCTTACCTATCAGCCGGGGTCACACAAAGAGGAAGGCCACACACAGGAGCTTTTTCATTTTTTCTTGTGCACAAATTTCCCTCAATACTAAACGGCGGCCGGTACGTCTACCGCCGTTTGTCGTTTGTCGCTTGAAATGCGTGGAAAAAAGTAAAATAATTCCACCCACCCGAACGGGCAAGATCTCATCGTCGAAGATCCCTTCCTCCTGGGCCCGGTGAGCCCGGGCGTGACTCTCCGCCGCGAAGGCATCCTGCGCGTGAAGCGCAAGAGCATACAATAGCAGTAGTTAAGAGCAGGAAACAGCTGTAGTGTGGAACGTAGAAGCAGACAGCAGGGTGGAACGTAAAGGAAGACAGCAGTAGGGTGGAACGTGAGAGCAGATAACAGCTGTAGCGTGGAACATAAGAGTAGACAGCAGTAGAGTGGACAGGGTTAGCGTGTGACGTATGAGTAAATTATGCTTGGCACACACGAGCAGACACTGGAGGCGTCCTGCGTAGCATATAGAGTGCCTTCTCCTTTCACAAACACGTTGGATCCGGAGTGTGGATTGTGTCCACACCAGTCTCTTCCGCCCACCCCCGGTCGAAGGGGGCCCGCGGACTGGAAACCATGCTCACGCTTGCTATTGTCCCGCACAACTGACGCCCATTTTTCGTGGGTCAGCCGCGCGGTCCATATTACCACAAGAAACACACATGGACACATGCATGCACTTACCTCTCCGCGGCGCCCCCCTGTCGGGGGGGGGGGAGCCTGCGGATTAGAGAGCGCGCCCGCAGTTTCATCCCCCGCTCTTAAGACTGGACATGTTTCCTTTGTTTGGCCCTGTAGCAGCGGTGGGTGCTAATCTCCAAAAAAAAAAAAAAACACACACACAAGCCGGTTTTTAGCGCGGTCGATGCCAAAAATAAAAAAACGCACACTGCTGTCGTCCAACTCCCGTACCCCCCCCCCGTCAGTAGACCCCTTTGATTTGATAATAAAACGTGTTCGCGTTCTTCATCGCGCTACAAGGCTGACGTCGAATCATTGGTCAGCACCCGGCTAGCTCGGTCGAGGCTAACTACAAAAAACACACACACACACACACACACACACACACGCACCTGCTCGGCGCGAGTGATGCCGTACTTCGCTGCGACGTTCTCGCTCGTGATGCCCATGGGGAGGAGCACCCCCGCCCCTTTTCGTTCGCCCTTGATGAACTTGGGGTTTTTTTCCGGCGGCAGTCCCCCCCCCCCCCCCATTGCGTTGAGGGACATGGATTCAACCCCTTTCGTTTTTTTCGTGCGTTGTGGCCAACTTTTGGGGGGGGGGGGGGGGTCGGTGAGGGCGAGGGGCGGGATTAGAGGTGGATGGACGAGGCGTGCACACAGGTTGGTTTGAGTCCACAACTGTTCGCGAGAGAGGGGCGAACGTTATTATCACCCCAATTCATCGTGCAGTATGCAGGTGTGCCGCGAGCGACAAGAGGCGCACTGCGAGCAACCGCAGAAGCCACTTTTTTTCTTGTCGGGAAGTGTGATGGCGGACGCTTTTTACCGGTGCCACGTCGTGAGTGTGATTTTTTTGTCTTACAAATTACACCGAATATTCCATCTCTATCCACAGGTGAGAGTCCGGGACAACTTAACAATGAATCCACAGCGCCAGCGGACACACCACTCGTGTTTCTACAATATATCGCGTCCCAGAATAAATCTCACCAGCAGCTATTCCGACGGAGTAGTGGCCGGCCTTGATGCCCGCCGCCACGTGAGCGACCGCCTGCAGCCCGCTGGAGCACTGGCGGTTCACCGTGCTGAGGGGCACGGTGTGAGGTATCCCCGCCCGCACCTGCGCCACGCGGCTCGAGAGCGCGCCGGAGCCCGGCTGCAGAACGTTGCCCACGCATATCTGTCGAGGGGGAGGCAGGTATCGTCGGGCGTCGAGGAGAGCAAACTGCAAGGAGGCTCGAAAAACGCCTCTACGGCCGTGTGTGCGGCCTGCCTCTGATTTGGGCGACTTTTGTGCGAAATAGCTGACTTGGTGCGCGCGGTGGCACCA